TATTTAGGTGTTGAGTTTTATCTGATCACTAGGACCCTTTCAATAGCAAATGGATAGCTATAGAGACCACTGGAAGATGTTCCATTTTCATGATTTTAGGGAGTATTGGACTGTGTATGTTAATAGGCTACAAATAACTGCGGATAGATGGGGATGGTGGGTGGTGAGTAGAAGGTCAAATGTCCAGAACTGAGCTTCTGAACTCTCGAACAGAAGACTCCTACTTGGTAGCTGCGGTGGGTACAGGTTGACTGTAAATTTTGCAACAGTTAAACAGTACTGTCATGTACTGAATCCTCCATTTAATAACAGAAGAGACAAGGAACAGAGGCAGCAACTGATGGTCTGCTAATGTATTGTACTTCTGCATACACATTGCTTAGACTGGGGAAGCCAGGGACCATGACCCACAAAAAAGAACTGGTGCTAAAAATTCAGTTTCTGTAAAGAAGAAATGATCTTGGAGAAACTAAGGGACCCTGGAAAGAAGACAACAATCCTGGCTGGAGGAAAGGTTTGGAAAGCGAGGGAAGATCCCAGAGATCAGAGAGCTGTGTGGAGGCAAAACACAGGGAAACCCAGGAAGGGACCTTTGCCAGTGATGCCCAAGAGTGGCAGCTATGAGCAGCAGTACATCATAGACCGATAAAGCATTCTGCCCAGCCTTTCCAGAGCAGCAGAGACCTTTCTGTTAGGAAATGTAACGCTGTGGGCTAGTGAGTGAGTAAGGACATGAGCAGTCAAGTAAGTTCTTGTGAGCTAATCAAGTAGTCTAAAAACTCCTGACTCATTGGTTGTTATCCAGATCCACCATCCAGATTCACAGTCCAGATACCTGTTTTCCATATCCACTACTATTTGTCATTTATTCACTTTGGCTATTAACAGTGCTTGCAGGGCTCTTACCTCTCTCCTGCACTGCTTTGATTAGCACCTGCAGCAGGACAGCATGCAATGACCATGATTTCTCAGGAGCTTCGATTTCCACCCTCAAACATTTCACTCTTCTGTCACCAGCATGGCAAGGGCCCTGCTGATTAGACAGACTTCAGCCAGTTGTTACACAACACTATGGGTTGTCATTTATTGTGTCTTGTCTGTGACACCCTCCTGAAGTGACTACCTTTTCCTTTTGTTTAATGAAGAAGAACTGTCAAGAACATTTTGAAATATAAGCACATTTACATAGTGAATTACTCTTGTTTATATGCTATAAATTCCTTCAAAGACTCTATTTCTTTCAAAGATATTTCTTTCTACAAGCCTTGTTAATTCTTTCCATTATATTTACCACCATCTCCACCTATTTTATTCTGTGGTGTAATGATTTCAAAGTAGAGAAACCAAAATTACTTGTTTGTGATTCTACATATTTCCCAAGAGTCCTTGTTAAGTTATCATTGTAGTTGACCAGAAGTTGGCTGTTAGCTTTTGTAACCTCCCTATTCCTAGCAAAGAGATTCCTAGTTAAGTTCCTTCAGAATTCATAGGCGTATATGTGTGAATAGATGATAATAAGCCAAATGAGACAGGATGAGTATTATTTTTCTTCATCTTCTGGTATTCTCATCTAAGTCAGTTCTTCTGTTTCTTCTCTTTTGATGTGTTAACTTCTTTTCTTCTCTTTAGAGATGTAAACATTTTTTTTTTTAAAGAATTGTTACCAAATCATCTAGTTTCCATTCAGGTTCCCTAAGAAATTCTGGATTCTGTTCTTCTTAAAACAATTTTATTCAACAGTATTTTATTCTCCTAGAAGATTCCTCTCAAAATCTTTTCCTGGCATGTCTCATATCAGGGACATTCTTATTTGTTTGCTTGTTTTGTTTAGTCTTGCCCTCCCTTTACAATTTTGTAAGATTCAGAGGACAGAAAATGACTCTACAGAGCATTTTAAAATATCAGAAATAGGTTAGCAATCAGTCCATCATTACCACTTTTCAGAGACTCTAAATTTCTTCTTTGATACGTTCAATGTAATCACTGTCGAAATGTAGGTTTACTTAAAGACTTAATGTTAATAAAGTGACATAAGGGAAAAGCATCAGCAAAGTGAATGTTTGACACATAAAGAAAGAGATGATAATAGAAATTCTTGAAGGAAAACCAGCAATTTCTAAAGAGAAGAAGACCTGGCTATGTTATGATTAATTTCTTGCTTTGACACTTTTCAATTCTTTGAAAGCTAGTGATAATAAGGAAAATTGCTTCTTAATCTGAGCAGCAGCTTAAATGAAACCAATAAAGCCTAAATAGTCCAACTTTTATGTGTTAGTTAAATATTCTTTTATCTCTTAGAGCTAAAGTGGATAATGAAACTTTTTACTTAAGGGACTTATCAGTGAAAGTGGAAATTTTGATAATTTTACGTTACATGTCTAGAGTGTCAAAATTACATATTAAAATGTAGCTGCCATGGGTAAGAGGGAGTCTTATGGGTTATGAATTAATACTGTCTAAGAGAACAAAAATGGAAGTAATGGATATTAATTTTTCTCTTCTTTTCAATTAGAGATAAAAGTGAATTTCTTTTTCTGTTCATAAGTGTCTCAAAACACATTCTAAGTGATCTAAGAAGAAAGATAGATAAGTCCTGAACTTTGTAGTCTGTTTAGATAAGCAAAAATAGTTAGTGTTAGACAATAAAGATCATGATGGAGTCCTCAGGGTTAGACACTGATGATTGCAGAGAGATTCTTTTTTAAAGAGTATAAGATTCAAAGAATGTTTTAAGCAAATATGTATGAAAACATGACTTATATGAACAAAATAACTTTTAATGTCATTTGGCTGAAGGAAGGTGATGGATCTTGAAGCCAGAAGATAACTCTAAAAGAGCACCAGGTACCACATAGCGAACTAAGAAAAGTTGAACATGGACTTTAGACTGTTCCTGCAGCTTTCTAAACATACATAAAAATGCCTCTTTCCTAAAGGGCTCTGAACTTAATGAACTGAGTAAAAAAAGTGCAGGTAAGAGAAAAAGTGAAAAGTAACTTTTATTATCTTATGCAGAGAATATAGTGACAGAATAAAGAAAAAACAAAAGGTGATCCTCAGGCTTTTTTCAGTTAGATAATTACTGAAATGCACTGCCTTTAAAACTGTTGGTCCTGAAATTGGAGTCTTAAGACTTTGTCTACCTAGCCCTGAAATAAATCATCTTTATCTGTTGTTCTAGAATGACTCTGGATATTGAACAGTAGATATTTAAATGTATTACCCTAAAAAGTTAAACTTCTAAATTAATTCTATTTCTTGGTAGATTGCGGTGTCTTCATCACCCTCATAAACATATATTATAGTGGTGGTTTTGACTACTCTAACTTAGGTACTTAGTTTAACTTAAGTTAGTTTAACTTAGTTTAACTTAGTTTAACTTAAGTTAAATTAATCCAAACTGATTAGTTTAACTTAAAAAAAGAGCAAAGATTGGAAAAACTTTAGATGATCTTCCATTTTCATGGCATCAAGTGTAGAAATAATAGAAACATATATTTCTCTGGAATTTTGGTGTCCGAGGGGAAATCAACCAACCAACCAAAGAATGTGAAGGAATACATGTTCAATGTTGACTTTAATTATTAAAAATATACATATTAAAAGAAATATAATATTACAAGTAATATTGATATGCAGAATTGAAAAGAGACTTAATTTCAGACTTGAAATTATTTGTTATTTGTCATGAATTGCTGAAAGCACCAATGATAGTCTGCTACTTTGAAATGATTTTCAATTCATTTTACTTAAATTCCTTGTTAGGGAGCCTAATATCAGTTTGGTGCAGATTTCAGTGTTTAGCACATGCCGAATGAGATGCAGCAGCTTAAACTAATTTAAAAAATAGTGCTATAATGAACACCGCAATTACCATAGTACCTCATTTTTATATTGCTAGCAAATACAATATTCATCTGAGCTCTATGTATTATTCCACTTTCTAAAGTAAACCACATAACTTTATGTTGACTGCTAGAACAGTGCTGAAAAAGGTGCCTGCAGGGATGGATGAACCAGTGATCGTAGCAGGCATATAGCTTTTCTTTTTGTGCTACACATGCAAGAGATAACTGAAGATTCAATCTTCTCTTTCCCATCTCATTATGAGGAGGGGAAGAGGTGATGTGTACATTTGTGGCCCTTGGATTCTCTTCCTTTGCTTCAGAAACACTTGAGAGCAGATATCTGCCTACAGCCATAAAAGCTATTAAAGAATTACAAAAGCTCAGATCAGCAGAAGCATTTTGCAGTTCAGCCAGGGTGTGCAGTTTGAGAATTGCAAATATCTTGGGTCTGCCTGTGAGAAGTAGTGCCTTTGGGAAGACATTCTAGAAATTGTGCAGGGGATTGTAGTCTGACATGCAGGTGAGAAAATAGAGGCTTACAATATGAATTCTAAGGTACGTTTTAGTATTTTTCAGAAGTGACCTAAGCATTTAGATGCCTGAACTCTAAGTGCCAAAACCACTTTTCAAAGGACACAAACTCCTAACCCACTTAGAATGTCTCTGCATCAGTATTTTAGTTCAAATCAGGAGTGTACTTTGAAGTAAATCTCCCAGTAGCCAATACCCTCCAAAACCCCCACTTCTTGCTATCCTCCACACTGCAGAGCACAAACTTACCTGCTCAGGACCCCAAGAACCTACACATTGTGCTAATTAGTAGTGTAAGGCTTGCCTTGGCCTGGGCCGGTTGTAGCTTATTGCAACAGTCCTAGAGCTCAAACAGTTGATGCCTGCCCTGCTGTAGCTGAAGCCCTGGGAGTGTCATATGTGGTAATGTTCTTAAACTCTTCAGCTGTCACAGAGTTAACAGACAGTCACTCTTTTAATTAGGCTCTGAGCAGTTTTCCAGCTTAAGATGGGACACAGTGAGAAAAAGCAGTGCTAAAAACCCCTATAAAAGTAGCTCCAAGTGGCCCCAAGTCTGCAGAATATGGAACCTTGGTCCTAGCTATGAAGTCATGATACAACTCTAGACCTTCCCTCCCATTCCGGAAGCAAACTGCATCCATCAAACCTTGGACTCAGGGGACTGACAAACACTTCTTTTGCAGAAGGTGTTCTGTGATTGAAGAGCTGTGTCATCACGTGAAGGAGCTACGTGAAAAAGGGAACAGCTTTCATAGTATTCAGGTAAATGAACAAGAGAGAGACTGTATTCAGAGATGCAAGGTGAATATGAGTCAGCAGTACCCTGACAGCCAGGAGGGCCAACTGGGGGGCATCAGGCAAAGCATCTCCAGCTGGTCGAGGGAGGTGATTGTCCCGCTCCGCTCTGCACTGGTGCGACCTCTCCTGGAGAGTTTTGGCCACTGTAATTTAAGAGAGATAATCATCATGGCTAGGCTTCACGAACAAAGGTTTGGAAAGGACTCTACCCACATTTGCTACAAGCATGCTGGTGGCTAAAGAGGCCAATGCAAGACAAATAAGTCCAGTTGCAAAAGGCACAGCAGAAAGACTCCTTGGATGGTATCGGCAAGACGCAATTCTTTCTGCGTGGTCTTTTCTCCTCAGGAGTGATCCTGCGTGTGTTCTCAAAAGCATCAGCAGCGTTAAAGAGTGCGTGTCTCCAGACCTCCTGATTGGAGGCCAGAGTAGACCAGTGATGAAGATCAATACAACCAAGGTTGAGATGTTGTTTCAGGGAGTCCTTGTGGCAGCCAGTGGCAAGTTCACCATAGAGGAAGATCTTAGGGAGGCGGTGGTCCTTCATCCTGGAGAGGTGCCCTGCCCAGGCAACTGTGTTCTCAGCAACATGGCCTCAATGTTTGTGACTGCTGCTTGTTCTAGAACAGATGTATTGGTCGCATAATCTGACCAGTGGATGTTTAGGATTGAACGGAGACAGCGCTGGTGGAAGTGTTCTAGGAGACATAGGTGGTGGCAGTAAATGATCCATGATTCGGACCCATATAAAAGAGTAGACAGCACAATGGCTCTGTAAACACTTGTGGTGGTTTGAGACACCCAGAAATCCAATTCCCAAGTCCAAGCCCCCCTCCCACAACTTACCCCAGTGTGAGAGTGGTTTTCCAGACACAAGACAAGACTCAATACGGGGGAGAAAGGGAATTATATTACAATCACTACACAAATAAAAATTATAATACATTATATACACAATCCTAACTATCTCTCCTATGATAAAGCAATATTTACATTGGATCAAATCTCTTCTTCCTCCAGTAAAAGTCCAGAAGGGAAGAAGGAAAGATCTTTTCCATGTTCAGGGCAGCAGTCTCTCTCTTCTTCAATGCAGCAGCTGAAGCTGGATTGTTGTAGCTGGATCTCTCTCTTCATTACACACAAGGGGGTTTTCTCTCACCCCTAGGACCTTCGACTACAAGCATAGGTTTCTCTCCCATGGACTGCGATTGCCGGGACAAAAGCTCACCTCACCACGTCATATCATGGGGTGTAAGACCCCCATGAAGGTCCCTTCCTTGAGGGGTTGAGTTCCCTCGAGTAAGAACGTTTAGGGCAGCTTTCAGTTCAGTCTTTGCCTTAAGCATTCTATCAGAGCTCCTGTGCTCTGTCTCAGCTGCCAGCCTGGCAGCAGCAGTGTGGGGGGGCAAGGCCACTTCCCCCGCATTCCTTCTGGCCGTCCCAGTCCAGCTTCCAGGACGTCTTAGCTCCTCTCTCTCCGGTGCTGCTGCATTCCAAGATTTCCCTCAAGTAGAGGTCCACCCCCCTCCTTCCAGGAGGGGTCTCAAAGGGGTTTTAGGGGTTTTTTATTCAATTCTGACCCCAAACCAGCTCTGTAGAGCTTAGTCTTCTCTCTCTCTCTCATTCTCTCTCTCTCATTCTCTCTCTCTCTCTCTCTCTCTCTCTCTCCCTCTCTCTGTCTCTCCATTAAACATCTCTGTGTCTTCCTGCTTAGCTGCATGCCATCTTTGCTGCTTCTTCTTATGTCCTTGGCTTTCTGCCACAATTCATTCACTGCTGCTCTGCAGCCGCTTTCAGTATCTCTGGCTGTCCACTCACAGCAAGGAAACTTCTCCCAGCCCTTAGCTACAGTACTCAGTCCAGTTTAACACTGTTTCTGAGTTTCTGCAGCCACCCAGCCAGGGCTGGGGGGGCCTTGGCCCCCAATGGGGCTCCTGGCCCCTCTCTTTCTCTTCGTGATCTCAGAACATGGCCACTTCTCCTTCAATTACAACATCACCCTTCTTTTCCGGTCTGGTGTGATATGTTTAAATTTTGCAGGGGAGCTGATTGGATAAACCCCAAAGGACACCACCCCCTTGGGGGTTACCATTTTTTTTAACTCACCACAACACTGATCTTTGTGCTTTTCTTCAGGTGTTTATTTCGCCAGACTCTTTTTTTTATGGAGTTTTCGAGATAAGCTGTTAGAGAGTGTCCAAAGGAGGGCAAGAAGATGGTGGAGGGCCTTGACAGTCTAAAACATATACATGTAAAGCTGCAACAGGGACACATTGTGCATTTACAAATAGAAAAACAATTGTCAGATTCATAGAATTTCAGCAAAAACTTGGCAGTTTTTTTGCTTATTCTTGGCAGTGTTGAATGTATTCTACTTGTTTTTTTTTTCTGTGTGTATGAGGCGCAAAGCCAATACATACACCCACATATGGGGAATGTTTGGTAAAACCAGATGTTAAGAGGTGAATTCTTCTAGTGCTGGTATCTGGATCTGGGTTTGCTCCCTTGGCACATTCATGTCTCTATCTCCTTGATTGGTTCCGCTACTGGCTACTGTGACATCTGTTCAGCTGTCTGCAGGCTTGGTAAAATGCTGCTGTGTTTCTTTATCTTTCTGGATGTTGGATTTCTTTGATAGTCTCAGGAGAATGTATAATTTAAATTTTATTCCATTGTGTTAGTTAATAGGGCAAAGTATGGATTTGCTAAATGACCCCATACAAAGTGAAAGAACTCAATCCCCATGTCTCTATTTGTCCAATGTGAAGATGTAGAAACCTGTTCTTTCACATATTTTTGCACATAATTTACATGTAGGTTTGTTTTCTTTTTTTAATAACGAGTAACAATATTACATCTGCTTTAAAGAAAGCATTTCTTAGACTGTGTTTATAAAATTCATCCCCTTAAAACAGCACCCCTCTGATCACCTATTCATTATTTAAACAATTTCTCTATAAACAAAATGGGATTACACTTAATATTTTAGTATTTTCAGGCATACTTTAATAATTGAACAGTTTAAATAGCTAAAAAATAGAGGGGAAAAGGTCCATAGTGGGAGAAGGATGTGATGATACATTCAATAACTTCAAGTATTTTGCTGCTAAGCCTGGTTGTGTTTAACACCATGTGATCCTTTCCTGCAGTCATCAGCAGGCAAGATTTTTATAGTCTTGAAGTGCATGAGCAAATTAATATATGTTGCTGTATATGAAGTAATATTAAAGATTTTTTTACAATCAGAAATTAACTGGATCCTGATCTCTTTTGACTATTTCTTTCAAATGCCATATGTTTGTATTGTTCTCAGGCTGAAATGCCTTCCTTTTTTGAATGGGATTGCAGCATCTCTTGTTCCGCACTTCACTGCACATCAGAGCCTAAGACTAGTGTTATAGAGCTTCTTGCCTTTGGAATCTATGATCAGTTGAAGGATGTACTGCCACATTAGAGCTTCTTCAAAGATCCTGAGATTAGCTCAGTTGCTTAGAACATTGTGCTAATAACACTGAGGTCATGAGTTTGATCCCTATATGGACCATGTACTTAAGAGTTGGACTTGATGATCCTTGTGGGTCCCTTCCAACTCAGCACATTCTGTGAAAAAAACTAAAGCAATCTTAAGGGACAGTTCTCATTGAAAGATCACGGGAGCTCCCTCTGAATAAGGAAAGGAAATCTGCCTTTCAGTGAAATATTGTTTAACTACACACAAGAGCAAAGCAATCAGAAAGAGAAAGTTTAAAACAACAATTCTTAGCAGAGCTCAGTAAACCCTTTAAGAGTTAGGTAGGTTTAATTTATGTTAAGTGTTTGAACTCTTCTGAGAACAGTTAGTGTTTTCTTCTCATTGCTTTCTCAGTTACTGAAATTAAATCCTTTGTTTCATTTTGTTTAATAAAGAAGTTTCTTTTGTCTTTATATGCTGCTTAAGGTTGTGGGTTTTTTTCCTTTTGGTAAAAAGTATGTGTCCTTTTAAAATCAGTTTTGAATGTATTGTCTCTGTACTTTATTTTTTATATTATATTTTGCAACAGACAGAAGAGTGGTTAATCTTAAAGGAGAATCATTTACCCAGCAAGACTGTCCCATCAACTTTCCTTTCAGATTTCTGCCTAAAATGGTAGAGTAGAAATAATGGTCAGGTTTAACCTAATTCCAGAAACCTGGGTAATGTCATGAAAAAAATAAACAACCCTGAATTATTGATATATACATTTTAAGAATGAGATAATGTTTGTGAACTGGACTGGAGAACAAGTATTCCATTTTAAAAAGAGAAAAATTAATATAAAAGTGGAAGCATAACTTTGGTGAGTATAGAAAAGAAATACTCAGAGGTTCACATTGTAGGCCATCTGCTACGAACTCTTAGGCCTCTACATGCCAGTTGAATTTCCCATTCAACCTACAGAGAATGTGGCAACTAAGCTATTTATTCTTATTCTACTTACTCTATCATTACTTTACATTACATTAACTGCACACCATCCACCCTGCACACTTAATCAGGTATGGGTCCTCTAAACCCCTGCATCATTAACTACTTACCAAAAAGTCATTATTATCTGATTGCTGTTCAGCAGACTTTGTAAAATGAATTGGTGATCTCAGGCAAATGTCCGCAACTCAAAGAGTTAGTGCTGCATTTGGTATTACTTTATTATTGAAATAATAAGCAAATAGAGTGGTATATCACCCATTGAATTATACAGTGACTTGAAAAGGTATCTCTGCAGCTAAGCTTTACATAGTCAAGAGAGGCAATATGCTTTGTTTGCAGAAATTTCTGTTTAAAAACTGGCATTTTCTGTGTCCAGAACAATCAATTTTTTTACCACAGACTACAAACACATGGACATTACAGCAGAATTAAATTAGGTAAATACACAGATGAAATGTATATGTTTTAGTCTAAGAGATTTAACAGTGAAGAATGCTGACAAACTAAACAAGTCCTGGCATATTATTATGGATTTATCAGTGAAATAATAACTGCACTTTGGGGACTGGTTAGAAATAGCAAACACTGAGAAGAAAACAGAAAACATATTCTGGTCTGCACTGAACATCTTTCCATCTCCAACTACAGTTTAGTGTCTATATTTTATTCTTATTTTTGCAGTCCATAGAAATTCAACATGAAACAGAAAAAAGAAATCAAATGAGAATACACAAAAAGTGTTCAAAAATACGGTCAAAATTCCTAAGAATTGGGAATTTAACAAATGACAATGTTACTTAAGTGTTATGTGGCCATTCGTACAATAGATTCATTCAAAATAATGCTATCCCATTACATATTGATGTCATGTCAACACATAATCATAGTCTAATATGATGTGATGCCAAGAGTAAGGAATTAGTCAGCTTTTAAAAGGTAATACATTCCCAAGCCCCTTCTATGCTTACTAATTTCATCTACCTGGACAATTGCCAATGTCAGATCTACTAGGAAAGCTGTGAAGGAATCACACTGGAGTAAGCTCATTGTTTTATTTATTTATTGCATGATTCTTCAATCTGTTACTAAAAAAGGAAATAAGATATCTCTAGGCAGAACCGTGTGACAGGCTTATCTGCTTGGCAGTTAGATGTGTCTGAGGGGGTACTGTAAACAGAAGTCACATATTTAACAAAAATATATTTTCTCATGTAAGAAATATTGTCAAAGGTTGGTTTTCTCACTGAGTATTTGGTAAACGTTCTTTAAAAATTATAGGATTCCTGCACATTATCCCATATTCCCCATTGTTCTCTTACAGACAGGGACACTGGCATCCATAAGGCTCAGGATGAAAAGAGAACTGAAATATCATGATTTATACTTTTGAGTGAATGCACCTTTTGCTCCTTCTGTTATACTTCTGTGCAGTACCAACCTATACTTTTCACTGCATCATTGCAGTTAATTGCAGCTTCAATTTCTAGTTCACATTATTTCGTAGCAGGTGCAAGACAGCACCTCTTGTATATCTGCAAGTTGTGATAGAGATGGGAATTCTTTACTTATGTAACGATGAGTTTCTCAGCATGTGAAGGAAGTGATAAAATTTGATTTTTGCACTACCTGTATATTTGTTTGCTGAGTGCAGAGATCTCACAATACAGAAAAGGAATAAAATACAAAGAACTACAAAGAAGACATTAAATGCAACATCAGGGAATGAAATTTTCTGCTTCAAAAGAAGTACCTATGATGAATGTGGCAATTACTGTGAACAGACAAGGCAACAAATGAAGGACTTGGAGAATGGTGCAGATAGACACTCATGACAGATGTTATAAGAATGCCAAGGGACAGATTGCCAGACAAGTAAGTCAGAAAAGACACTGACAAATATACTGCAAGGGACGACTTTTCAAAGAAGGTCAGAAAAGAAGAAAAATGATCTTATATAATGTAAATCTATAACAAACCTATGCTTAGCATCTAAACAATTACAAAGCAGTATACAAAATGATAGAGGAAAGCTACCATGTCAGAAAAAAGAAACCTGTATTCTGAAGGTGTTTCTTTGTCCCAGATAATTGCTCTCTCTCATAAACTCTACACTACAAAATAACTTTATCTTTACAGAAGTGCTAGAGGAATCAATACTTTAGGCATGCTTAACAGGACATGGGAAGAGGTATGTATCTCAGAATGGGTTCAACAGATCCAGTATGAAGCAATCTAAAATGAGCAACAAAGATATTTTGAAGGGATGGTTTGGCAAAAAGAACAGAATAGGAAGAGATATTTATGCATTTCATCTAAATAAGAAAAGTTATATCTCTTCATTCCTCTGTCTCCATCTCCCTTTCTATGAAAATTATTATCAATTTTTATGTCACACGTATGCGTGTACAGAAATACATACAGTCCCATATAAACAAAGAAATCTGTGCCAGTCACCTCAATAAAATGGAGTCTTGTGTTCAGAACTTCAGTTTCATTTGGTTTAAATGAGGAATTTGAACCAAGTCATCATATTCCAAGGAGAAGTTCTAAGAAGGGGAACACTGGATCATATGGGGGAAGATTAAAGGAAAAAGTCTCCTTCCTAGGTATTTTATAGGACAAAAAAGTAATGATCAACGTGAGAACAAGAGGTTGTCATGCTATGTTGCACCGTATCATCATAACCTGGACAGTTTCAGTTTGTCTTTTGGTCGATAAATATTAGAGAAAAAATAAAGTCAGCATACTGGAAATTCTTATTTACATCCTCTAATTATGCACTTCTGAGAGATAATTTCAGTAGAGGTGAAAAGAAAAACACTTAATAAGCACCAAGTTTTTTTTACATAAGTATATGCAGTAACTGAATTCTGTATAAATGTTCTCCATTTTTTGCTTCTTGTGTTGGCAAGCAAGTTGATTGGACTACTTGTCCATGCAAGTGACCAATGATTTGCCTTTTTTTTTTTTTAACTTCCTCTGGATTATTCAATAGTGGTCAAAATAAGAGACACATTGAATATGTAATGGTTGCTCAGATTTGATTAGGCTGTAATGAAATGAACATACCCCACTCTAGTCTAGTTGTTTGTCAACAACTAGAACAAAATATGAACAAATATGAACAAAACTAGACTTCAGTGAAAGATGATAGACTAAGAGAGATTTCTTCCCAACCTTATGCATTTTTTTGCATATGAATATGTAAATGTTTAATTTCCTACATGAGAACTCTGGCTAATGAAATCCCTTCATCACATGAAAATAATTTCATGAATATTTGTGATGTATTTGGACACTATAGAATTAAAGACTGAAATGTAGTGCATCAAGGTTAAGATCGCAAAGAAATTTGTAATACTGACACATTAGCTTGTCATTGCTTTACTTTGCAATGACACGAAATGAATTACTGAACTGAACTGAACTGAACTGAAAGTTCAGTTCTTTTTTGTATGAATTATGTATTAATATCTTTGAATATCTACATTTGCATTCATGTTCTGTAATTCTATAGTATGAAAAGAATCCCAAGAAATCACTGAGAAGTAAACAGAATACGAAAAAGAAGAGACCAAGAGAGGTAAATCTAGAATCTCTTTCTCTTTTTTCTTCAGAGCTTATTTACAAAGTTCAGTTGCTTGAGCTGGTGAATTAAGAACAGCTTGAGCTGGTGAATTAAGAACAGCTCTACTACAAACTCAGAATTTATTTTCCTTCCTTTCTTCCTTTCTTCCTTTCTTCCTTTCTTCCTTCCTTCCTTCCCCCTTCCTGCCTTTTATCTCTCCTTTCCTCTCCGAACCTCTCCTCTCCGAACCTCTCCTCTCCTCTCTGAACCGAACCGAAACGAACAGAAACGAACCTCTCCTCTCCTCTCTGAACCGAACCGAAACAAAACGAAACGAACCTCTCTGAACCTCTCCTCTCCGAACTTCTCCTCGCCCTCACCCTTCTTTTCCCTCTTTTTTCTTCTTCTTCTTCTCCTCTCTCTTTTTTTTTTCTTTTTTTTTGTTGTCGAAGTGATGTCTAGGTATTTAATTGGCAGTGTTTGCCTCTAAAAAAAAAAGGGGGAAACTATATTCTTACGTATAAAGAGTAAACCAGCATCTATAATGTCCTACATGAGGACTAATCTACTGTTCACATGCAACAAACAACTTCTTTTCATTCCTAAAGGTATTAAATGAGATGTAGTTACGTGACGAGACAGTGAACCATTGTCTTTTTGTTATTATATAATTGCAGATTCAAAGAAAAAAGTTGTAAGGGACCCATAGGGTTCACCAAGTCCAGCTCCTTGTTCCTTGCAGTATTACCTAAAATTAAACTACGCTAAGAGCAGAGTCCTTGATATTTTTCTATCCAGTCAATCTATCCAAGGATAATAATTTTTTTCTGCATATTATTTTATGTTTGTAAATGCATAATCTGTGCTGAAGTAAAACTGAGAAATCTGAATGAGTGGTTTATATTTCTACAGTATTAGCTGGTTGGACCTATCAGTTCTGAATTAATAAGTAGAATAGGAGCAGCACTGACTATCTGCTGGTTAACGTATTTTTTAAGTATGACAAAATATTTTTGAAAATATGCTTAAAGGCAGAAAATTATTTTTAATTTACTGCATTCAGGTAAAGAATTTTCATTACACAGCGACTAAAAGAACAGGATGAAAAGTGAAAATCATTAAAGATTTTTGGTTTTTTAAGGTGTGGAAAAAGTCAGCAAAAGTGTAGAAGTGATCTTGCAAGTATTAAAAACAAATATTTAGTTAGTAGATAAAATGTCAGTCTGAACAGAGAAGACAGGGAAAACACATTTCCCAGCTAAAACAAGCATAAAACAAACAATTAGAAAATGTCATCATTGTCATGTACCTATACAAAGCAAACATGGAAAGATTTTTAATTATAGCCTTGATAAGTCAGTGAAATGAATGAGATTAAAATGAAACTATACCTACTAGTGTAATATTTAGCAATTTTCAGTGAGAATCTCAAAGTAAATATCAAAGCAGGTCAAGAAATCAAGGAACAGTGTCTTCATTCCGGAAAAAGAAATATTAACATACCACAATTTCTTTGAGTACTATCAATCTTGTTTAACGCAGTTGTGGGTTTTTTTTTTTTATTTAACTGAAAGTTGCATCTCAGAATTCTGGTTTTTATAATTTTTGATTTGGAATATTCTGCAGCAGCAGTCATTCAGAACCCAGATGATTCTTTAAATTAATGGCCTCATTTCTCCTCCTATATCTTGATCATAATATCTCTAAATATATGAAGACTTTCTACATTTCTAAAGCTTTGATATAATATTTCACCTTAGCCATTTTGACCATTGGTTGATATAAAAATCAAACAGTTGATTTGTTTTGTCAAGACCAACTAACAGTGACCATTCCTTTAAATATTATTCACAACATATTTTTAGAAATAAAAACTGGCAATATTCCAGTATACCCTTCCAGGACGACTTCTTCTGACACCATGATATCACAGGATTTTTAAAGATTGGAAGATCTTTTCTATTCAATGGTAAAGATCAGGTCTTTGAACTGATTAAAGTCATATTTCCTCTTAATCACTCTGTATTTCTTGTTTGGTTTTGTTTGGTTGGACTGGGTTTTTTTCTGAACTTCGAAGTTTAAACTTTGAAAAGTTAAATACTGAAATACTGGCTTGTGTATGCTGACACTGCTAATCCTGTTAAATATAATCTTTTTAACTGGCCCTTGCAAATGTTACTGAAGTTTTGCTTCATTTAAAATCCTAAAATTGCCCTAAGGCATCCTTTCAATTTTTATTTCTTCTTCATCCTGCTGTGCCTCCTTACAGCATGCAACTAGCAAACATGCTTATAGTTATATTCACAATGATCCAGAAACCTAATAACCTGATAACCTTTATCTACATAATTATACCTACATATCTGTTACATTTTAGGGAGTCTAAACAGATCAGTGCTCTCCAAGAGGTGAATTTGTGAAGAAAGATTGAGAAATACTTATATAATGGAACTTTATCGATGGTGTTGTCAAACTGTAACTAATCCAATGTTTAATTAATATTTTACAAGAAGCATTCTTCTCCCTTAATTTTGATATTTGTTACAACAATGTACAGACATCTTCCCGCACAACTGCGACTGTAGAGTTAAAATGTTATTTCCAATGTCTGAGACTTGATTCGAGGAAAGTACCAGTTCAGATCGTGGTTTGCACATACTTTATTGAATAGTAAAGTAGTAATTCAACTAAATTTTACTTAATCTTCTGGTCTGGTTCTATCTCACCCAGCTCTAGACACCAGTAGCTCCATAGCCTAAGTCAACTAGCCACCTCCTTTTCATAGCCAGAAAAATCAATCAGATAAACTTAGTAACCCCAGAGGTGGGGTTATGTGATATAGGCCATCCCCTGTCAGAAGAAGTGCAGTTTGAAGTTAGTGACTCTGGTCACAGGAGACCAGAGGAAAATTAACAGATAGGGTAACAAAATAGCAACAGATCTGCTGAGTAGAACAGTTGAGTACCAGATGTCCCCAGGATACATATTTCAGAGATTTTATGAGGAAAAAACCTGAACTGGGGCCAGTGGACTGAATGCCCATCAGTGGATGCAGCACCATAGCTACGTTTAGGGAGTGCAGCTTCGCATTTAGTTTTAGACAGCAGGAATTTCTGCTACTCTGAAACCACACGAAGTCAGTCAGGACTCAGTACACGGAGGTGATTGGGAGCCTTGCTTAAGAAGTGCATCCTGATCCAAACTAGAACACCAATGCGTTATTAGGCTCTTTGAAGTGACGATAGGTTCCTAATATATTTAGGTGATAATCATCTTGCTTTTCTAGTTTTGCTTTGCAGACATGAAACAGAAATGAAGGAAAGACTTAATTATGTTGTATAAGGTGGAAGCTCTGAAAACTGTGGAGTGCTACCAATATCCACTAACATCCAGTGGGCATTATATTAACACTGCAATTCAATTCCCCTGAGTGGACAATAGCAAAAAGTCTTCATCTTTCAGTTTTATTTCCAGATTTATGAATCTAGATGTTAATTAAAAAGAACTGAAATAATTTCACTTTACCATGGCATCATCTGATTTAGTTACAAAATGAGAAAGAGTCCAGTAGATATAAAAACATACACTTTTTATTCTTCAAAAATCCAGGAGATTGGACTTTCATAACTTATGCATGAATTTTTTATAGTCTGACAAGAGCAGAACGATAAAATCTGTATAACATAAATTAGTTATAAAAAATTTATTTTATTTTGAAATATCTGTGCATTTATATGCAATCTTCTCTAAGTTAAATCCTTGTTTTTATGTATGTAGTAAAATGCTACTTTATTAAAACCTGCAAGGATAAAAAGCAAAATCTTCTAAAGAATCAGGTTTTATCAGATAGCTCAGGAAAATAAAAAATATTCTTTTACAACTAAAACACAGGAGATAGTCCGAGAGTATTCCCTTTGCACTGGTGCTGGCATAACAAGGCCTCTTGAGGATGCAGCTCTTTACAATCACTGTTTTATTAAATGTCAGAAAGTGTAATGTTGAAGGCACACATTGAAGGCTCATGTAATGTAGCTTACCTTACACGCATAACCTTCACAAAAACATCTTCCAAATCCACTTGCTAAAAGATTTATGGCATCATGCAAGTTTTACACCAATAAGTGCGCTAATGGCTTTCTTTGATGCATCCCACAGGACTCACGCTGTCTGGAAAAAGACCAAAGTATGGAGCAGAATGTAATCATCACAACTATAAGCTGATTGGTAGAAAAAAGTCTAGGGCATAGAAGATAAAATATTAAAATATATGGAATTCTTAAGTCTAAAAGAAGTTTAAAAACCTTTTACATTTTTTGGTGTTTAACAAGCATTAAAGTTTATATATTAGGGGTCTTAAGAGTGATATATACCTTGCTTGTAATTTAGTTCAGTAAATTTTCACAGTTATGAGTTATATAAGTTTCTTGACAGAGTAAATTTAAAGTCTGAAAGAACACAAATCAGTTTACTGTAAAGTAATCTTAAAATGAAACTATTTTTGAAGCACCTGAAAGAATTAGGATCTCACATCTTCACTGATGTTCAGTAGCACTAGGATGTCTTCTTCTAGAGGCTTATAAGATTTCCAACTATAATTATGATATTCATTGTTAAGACACCTTAAAAGAATAAGTTATTTCATTTGATTTCATAGAACAAAAGTATTATTATAGAGGAGATATGAAATAAAGCATAGTGATGACAAGGCCTGCTGGAGATTCAGGAGTTCTTACTATTAATAAAATGAAATTCTTCTGTGGCACTGAAATCAGGAAACATCATAGTTAAATGGCATTGTGTCAAACAAAGAATGAAAAAAATCTACAAAAATGATATTATATTGAGGATAAATATCATCCACAATACTATCAGAAAGAAAATATTGAAAAAATATAATTATTCAGAAGTTCTTTGACTTAAAATTAAGAAGACTATCTTTAGTTTAAACTTGCTATTACAAATAGGAGACAGACCCTAACATTAACATATTTTTCCTTAATATGCAGTTGTATGGATGGTTTGTTATTATGTTATTACTATTAACACTTAAAAGACTCTTCTAGTTTCTTCTAGTTTCTCTTCCATTTGAAAAAAAAGTCCTATATATACATATAGTCTGTGTAACTAATTACCATGACACAGCACTACATTAGAAAAATTAAAATGAGATATGAGATCTAGAAAAGACTATTAGGAACCTAAACTGTGTGTTTGGTTGAAAAATGCAAGTAACTCTTGCTCTTGTCACTACAGCATAAGTGTAGCCCTGGAATTTATTTGTAGATGCCTAACCTTAGGCTTCTGCACAAGTGCATTTACATAATTCAAGTGCTGTCAGAAAGCTGCTGTCTGCCTGTTCACCATAGGAGAAGAGTAGGACAACAAGAATACTCTGGTGCTTATCGTGTTCCAGGTGAGTGGCCTGACTAGCTGACCACAAATTTGTAATGAGATAATTTTCATCTGTTGTATCATGCTTAGGATGATGAACATTTCCTGCATATTGACCAGCTTTTAAGAGTGAAAACATTCCAGGAGACTTTTAAGAGTGCTCCAAAATTGTTTCAAAAACATAATAACAAACAAAGCAAGACTGAGCAGTAATTAAGAGACAGCATAATTCTACAAGACAACTTGGTACCACAGACAATTGCTTTGAGTTTCATCAGTGTTAAACCAAAGTTAATTTTCCTTTTATGAAACATAGTTTTACACTTTTAAAGGATATATCTTTCTTAGACTGACCTAAGAAGCTTATCTCTCTGGAAAAAACACTTTACATCTCAAAACTCTCTGGACAAAATACTTTACATCTCAAAACAGTTTTTTCAACCTGACAGTATATTAAATGGCTAGTTCCTGTGCTGATAGACTGAAACTCTGACTTAGTTTTGTCTGAATTGCAGTGGCATATTGATATGGTTACTATGATAGCACAAAGTCTTGAAAAACAACATCAACTTGGTTCAGGTTTTGTAATGGTCCAATAAAGCTAACATGATCCCACATATAGAGGCAAAAAACTGGCATGATTTATTGAACATACGAGTGCTATTTAAGGGTCTTGGGGGCTTACATGCTAATGAGGAGGCAGGGTTATTCCAAACAGCGGTTTCTACAATCAGCGTTTGCAGTAACAGGGGTGACATAAGAGAAAAATGATTTTACATTACTCGGACAGTATTTACATTTTGGGGAAAAAGGTTTGATATTTCCAGTAAGCAGGGTTACATTAGAGAAGAGTGATAAACTTTTACCCAAAAGAAGGATTTAGACAGGGAGGGAGAAAACAAGGGGATATCTGATAGCATCATGCAAAGTCTCTCTACATCCTGCTAGGGGAGATCAGGACAGTGATCTTGTCCGATCTTTCAGATGGTGTTTTTTTCCCCAGCCTCTACGGCCCAAGGTTTCCTGTTTAATCCTAGCAGTTCCTTTTCTGTTGGTATCTGAGTTTCAGACTGCAACAAAGTTTAGTGGAAGGCTTCATAAGTTTTATACTTTCATAGCTATGCAATGATGCATACGTTATGTGCTAGAACTCCAGTCAGCAGCTTCTACCAATTGCTCACAACCTGCCCCCAGCCACCCACCCTTTGCTTCACCTCTCGTCTGCTTCCAGAACCAAAATACTTCTCCTGTAGTACTATTTTTTTTCCCAGTTTTATGTATTTCTCTGTTAGAAATGGATAAAAAAATGCTAAGGGGTAGTGGAAGGGTTTCATTTCCAACCTGGATAAAGTTAAGATACAAATATATGCTTTATCAAGTCTGTTGCCTTGAGATTTCAGCACTGTTTCCATGTTCGAAAGCTTATGGTAATAATCAGTTAAGGATGCAAGCTTATCTGAGACAAGAAATAACTTTGATGTTCACCCTGGAATAATCTCAAGGTGAGTACACTCTAGTACTCTGGCAATTAGATACATGAAGCTCTTCTGAGTAATGCTAGCTTAAAGTATTTAAGC